TGCAATTAGCATTTAAGTGGGTTGGCCAAAAGCCAACTTCGACCTAGGCAAATATTGAAGTTGCGGATCGATATGTTTAACGATCGTTTTTACGTGTAATTTACTTAACTCACTTGTAAACACCTGAATCAGAGGGAGGGAGAATGAGAGAGATAGAGAGAGAGAGAGAGAGAGAGAGAGCAGTGAATGCCATTCTTCAAAGAAATTTTTTTTATCTGCTTATATAGAAGTAATATACTACTAATAATAAATAATATATATAATATAATATATACATCGATCGACGGAGAAGTAATATTGAGCCAGAGCTACAATCAGCTAAACAACTTTTTGTGAAATAGTAAAGTAAAACTCCATTCAGCTGCCTTTACGCCTGCAAGGTCATTTCAATAACTTTCAGACTTAAGTTGCGAATACAATATATAAACAACAATTTTAATGGATCCTCTTCTGCTTTTTGAAAACTCCTTAAAAAAAGGGGAGTTACCCGACTACTGAACACTTGTTGTTGTTTTTTGTCAAAATCATTTGTTCTTTTTCAGATTTGCTCATCTTAACAAATAAATTAAATGTATATGCATACAGGAATATAGTCAATTGTTCTTTATATGTATATTTTCTAGAAGTATGATTTGCTTTACATACATTTCTTATTCAATCTCAAATTACGTTTGATAAATCTTTTCTTTTCCTCAAAAAAATCAAAAACAGAAGGTGAATTTTTCAAAGGTAAATTGTTTACTAGTTGCTTGAAACAAAGTGAGTCGTGCGCACTTCAAAGCTCGACCTTGAAATGTCACAATGCTAAAGGGAGCGAAGTTCTTGGCATAATATATGGCCCTCACAGTCGTGACTCCACTTTCATGAATCTGTATATACTTATAACTATATAGTATATAATCACCATCAGAGCTCAAACAGATCTAACCGTAGATGTCTATACGATTGTTAAGACAGCAAACACTTCAGATCTCAATTTACATCAAGTAAAACATCCCAGTCAACTCAATCAACTGAATAATACTCGTTCAGCAGCTCAACTTATAAGCAGCGGACCATATAATTTATATGTATGCAGTCTTATTTGTAGAGGTGTTCAAGTGGGAGAAATTAGGTGTTCAGATTTACTAAACAATAATTTTTATCTGAGTAAGGGTTTTTAGAATAAATATTCCATAGCTATATAAAAAGCTGTTATCAAAAAGTAAAAAAAAATATATATATAGAGAAAATTCCAGAAAATAGAAAAAAAAAAATACTCCATAAACTTTGTCATAAAATTTTACTTAAAACGTTTCATCAAATACTTTATATATATTTCATACTATGAAATATTCCATTCTGCAATGATTGTTCATAAAATCAATATACTTTTCTCACATGGTGAATAAGTATAAAAAGGTTCTTTTACATTAAAAGATCAATAACTCTTTTCATTGCCTCGTAAACAAGATTCGGTTTCGCGGGTTTTTTTTTTTCAACATTTAACGTAATTGGATTTTGCATAGTGCCACACACTTGGAGAATAATATATCAATTTTATTAGTTAAGATTGAAACGAGTTTCTTATGCACGACCTTGCCAATCGAATCTAAGGCCTTTAATTTAAATTATGCATCAGTTTAAATAGCCATAAATTTGAGCAGAATATAGTTAAAAGTGAATATACTTCTAAGCGCTAGGCTAAAAGAGAAAAAACAACTTTTGTGTAGTCAGTCTAAGTTAGAGTATACTTTAAAATTCATTCGTTTATCTATGTTGATAAACGTTTTCGTAGAGCCTGAAAAACTTATTACCACGGTGCTTAAATAATCAGAAATTATCCAATTTATATACGGGTGGTATAGGTAAGCTTCATTGTAGTGAATTAAATGGCTATGAGCTGAGCTACAATCAAAATCTAATTTAATTCCTTAAATCTTAAATAAATTTTATATGTTAAATATAGAGTTTACATAATATACATTATACATATATACTATTTCTTTCAGTTGACTTTGCCTAATAAAATAGTTTTTAGCTATGTTTCTTCCTCATCTAACTCTGTGATTATTCAAATCAAATTAATTATTCTCAAATTAGAAATTCAATTGATTCTCTTTCGAGCTAAAGATCGTGAATCAGCGTCTAGAGTAAAACAGTTCGCCTTGACTTTATATGAAACAACGAACAACTGTGGCTTGAGCCAGTGTGAGATTGAGTATTGAGTACATTAGTCTACGCACGAGTAATATACGTGAGAGAATTGTTTTTCAGGTATTTGACAACAAAGGCAATTAAACATGAAAGCCACATTGCGTATTTGTCAGCTATAGTTGAAGACAGGTTTTGCAAGATTTGCGAGGGGAGGATGGTGGGAGGCTAAACAGCTTCAAGCGAGAGCTCAGATGCTATTATCTGTCGGTAAGTGAAACATGAATGTATGAAAATATGTTAAATTTTATCTATTATAAACATACATTATGAATATATATGTGCATCAATTAGCAATTACTATCAAGAACTTGAATTGTATTTAAATATATATATATATATACCCATATATCTATTATGTCGGAACATTGAGAATATACATTCCCAGGAATTTCATAAATATGTTTTTGATTTGAGTTCCGTCATTTTTGTTCTTGCTTGTATATTATATATAGAATATATAGAATCATATTGATTGATGTTGAATGCGTCATTTGTGTAAAATACTTTTGAGTGACTCAATTCACAGTAACATGGGAATTACTTCCTTGAATAAATATGCTCTCGCTAGGCATTTTGCTTTCATATTTCAGTCAAAACAATCGCTTAGTGCTTTAGCTCTCTTCTTTTTATCAGCTTTTAGATAGGCCGGCTGATTGCCTCGTAAGTGGCTGAAAAGTTCTTTGTGTGATATGAGGTCCGTTTCTCGAGGCCAAGTTAGCAGACGATTGATCGAATTGCTTTAGGTCTTATCTATAAACCGAAAGTTCTTCAATATACCTTCAATTACATTTATATATTGCTTAACTTTTGTTGTGATTACAATGCCCACCGGCTTCTCTATAGTAATTGGCCATGCTTTATAAGAGCTCAAGCTTCTACAAATAGGTGCATCTGTTTATTTGCTCACCTATTAGCGACTTTTATGGCCAGGCCACATGACAAGCAACACATAAATTCGCAAATATCAAATTGAAATCACATTTCATTTCAAATTATGATAAATTGATATTCTCTTTTATTGTAACACGCACAAATAAACATATATATATATCTGTCTGTATATATCTGTAAATATGTATATGTACAAAACTTGCCACCGCACATCTGTGTAATTAAATGTGTTCATACCGCTCACATGCATATATGCACATGCACATCCACACACACTTACAGACACAAACGCACACAATTTGGGGAATTCGAGAAACTCGCAGAAGCAAACCAAACCGGAACCAGTTGCTTGAGAAGATTCGCCTGGTTATAAGAGTTAGTTAACGGTCTCAACGCATAGCTGTTCCACTGGAATCGGTGATCCGTTGCACATTTCCATTTCCCAACTGATGGGAAATCGAGCTGCTCAGGGTCAATTTGGCGTGTTGTTATTTAGCCCCTCTCGCTCTCCCTTTGGCTCTTGCACTCTCCACGTAACACATAAGGAATCGAGTTCACTTCGTTAAGGCTCTTTTACTTCACTTGTTAGCTTGCCGAACTGCTTTCGTTTTGTTAAAGCTTTCCACAGCTCCTAGCACACACACATACACAGCTCACACTTGAAACATTTTTTTTTTGCCGCAGCCTTACGTTGTATATTTTCTTTATATATATGCCACTCTTGCACACACTGTGGACAATTTGTGTAATATTTTATTCACGTTATAAACTAAAACCACATAATACGACGAACTTCACACGAACCACAATACGTAAACGGCAAAAGCTTCGCGCACGTTTGTCAGCTTCAACATTCGTCGGTTTACTGAACGCGATACAACGCGACGCAAACGACTTTATCATCAATGATTTGACTTGAATTTGATCAAGCCGTAAGACAATGGTGTATGTATGAATGTGCATGTGTATATAATCGGAGATTGTGCTCTTGATAAAAGAGAGAATCTACTTTTAAAGTCCCTTTTTAAATAGTAAATACAATTGTTTATATACAAGTATGATTAGATAACATTTTAATTACTTGTATTTTAAAAGTTTCATTTCATTGCAGCTCTTTAAACGAAGACGACTTTTAAGCATAAGAAACATTCAAAAATACGCGCTCTCTTTTTCCAATTAGCGAAGTATTGTTTTAACATGTTTATTACTGAAAATTAACGTTAATTGTCAAATTTTATACAACAATCAAAAATACAATCTAAATAATTACGTTCCGATTTTCATAAAGATTCAAGATAACCGGTAATTATTATTTTTAGAAAACACCAACATAACGTTTTTTGCAAATATACTAAGCGAGATTTTGAATATAAAAACCTCTTAATAAAAATGTTATTCAAGTACTAGCTTGTTGTCACATATTTTTAGTGAACTTATATCAGTATTTAATTATATTCTAAATTCTGGAATAATAATAATAATAATATATAAAACATGGTTGGTGAAAAATTGTAATTACCTATCGAATGTTACATTTAAATATCGGTGATCTAATAACAGCTTGAAATGTTATTCATTTGAAATGTTTTAAGAATTTCCACAATGAGTAACGTAATGCTGGCATAAACTCATGATCATTTATGGCAAGATTAAAATTTAACTCGATTATATATAAAAATTAAAAATTTGAATCCAAGCGACTTCATAACATATCATATTTGCTTAACAGTGCCATTTTGAGCATGGCCGCTGGTAAATCGAATATCTCACATTTATCGAGAGAAAAAACACCGAGAAACAGTGAGTGAGAGAGAGAAAAACCGAAAAACACATCACTACAGTCGACCTATTTTCAGGTAGTAGGAGAAAAAAAGCAATATTTTGCGGAAAACTCACGATTCGTATTTTAACGAAATACGCATTACACAAACATTGTTAATAAGCAACCGCATTAGCATTTAACTGATAAACAAATGTGCGCAAAATGAAAGTAACAATCAAGTCATGGACGGGCGTTGCATCTTGGCGTTGGATAGCGAATGATGAGAATTGTGGCATTTGTCGCATGTCCTTTGAGAGCACTTGCCCCGAGTGTGCGCTGCCCGGTGACGACTGCCCACTGGTGTGGGGTGTTTGCTCCCATTGCTTTCACATGCATTGCATTGTCAAGTGGCTGAACTTGCAACCGTTGAACAAACAGTGTCCAATGTGCCGCCAAAGCTGGAAATTCAATATACACTAAAAAAATCAAACTAAGCCCGAAACACGAAAAGCAAAGTAAAGAAAGAAAAAACGAGTACGAGAACGAGATAGAAAGAGATTACGAGTACAAGAGAGAGCGAAATTCACAGAGAGCAAGAACAACGAAAGCAAACTTTTATGACTTTTTTCATATTTGCAAAATGATGGAAAACACTGATCAACAACGTCAGCTGCAGCTGCAACAACAACAGCAACACTCGTTAATCGGTCTGCCGCCACTGCCAAAAAGTCTGAGCGCCGCTGCTGCCACCATTGGATCAGATCTGACGAGCGGCCACGCACAGAGCCAGGTGCACGGACAGTCGCAGCTGCGCTCGCATACCTCATCCCCGCTGCAGCTGCAGTCGGCCATGTCTGTTGCCGCTCTAACCGCTGCAACGGGCGATCTGTACCTGGGGCCATCCACCTCGTCGGCGGCGCGTAATCGCAATCATAATGGCCATGGGCGACATGGGAGTCTTTCTTCTACCCAGGAGTCACTCAGCGATCGAGAGAGCGTGCACAGTCGCGCGTCGTCCACGCATAGTGCGAGTGGCAGCACCGCCCAGCAGCAGCAGCACACGCCCACCAACAGCAGCAGCAACGCCTCCAGCACCATTGACAACCAGCTGGCTATATTGCGCCGGGAGATGTATGGACTGCGGCAGTTGGACTTGTCGCTGCTGTCGCAGTTGTGGGCGCTGAACGAGTCCATTCAGGGTTTTCGTGTGTTTCTGCAGGAGCAGGATGCGCTGTCGCCGCCATCCCGATCGCGAACGCCATCCGACGCCAACTCGTTGTCGTCCGACGAGGATGACGGCTCCTATGCGCCGCTTGCTGTGCCTAAGCTGAATGTGCCGCCGGCAGGCATGGCTGCGCTCTCCTCGCCAGCTACCGGCGGGAGTTTGCCCACAAAATTGGCAACGGGTTCGACGACATCGCATGCATCGACCAGCTCCACATCTGGGGCGTCCGGCTCATCGTCGGCAGCGTCCTCAATGGGCAAGCACCATCATCATCAGCAGCAACAGCATCAACAACAACAACAACAACAACAGATGCCTCACTATCATCATCAGCATCGATCCGCACCCCCACCTGCGCCGCCCGCCCAGCACAAGGCGCATCCGCAGTTGCCGCGCATACTGCAGCAACGCATGCGGCATGCTCCGCCTCCGCCGCCGCCCACGCGGCCCAAAGGTGGCGGCGCCAGCAGCAGCAGCAGCAACCACAGCATCAGCAGTGTCTCACAACAGCAGCAGCAGCAGCAGCACCACCACCACCACCAACAACAACAACATCAGCATCAGCAGCTGCTGCATCAGAGTTCACAGCATCAGAGGCCCGTATGACAAAACCCGTTCTTGGACTAAGCATTGCCTGGTCCAAGAACGCAAATTGATCGTAGATACCAATAAAAAGCAACAAACAATAAACCACATACAAACAACAAACAAAGAAGCAACAAAACATTTCTGAAAAGTCAATTGCACATTTAACCGAAAGTCAATTAAGATTTAGTAAAACATTCGAAAAGGCAGCTGAATGCGACTTGTGATCTTGTCTGACAGCAGCTGCATCCATACACAGCCACCCAAAACAAATATCCCTTAAATAATATCACTCACACACACATCCAAGCTTGCCATTCGTTCCATTTCGTTCTTGGATTTCGGAAATTTATCGCTAACCAAACTCGAATGATTACATTTTTGCAAGAAAACAAAAAGAAAAGAAAAGCAAAACAAACAGAAAATGAAACGAAATTGTATTCAATAATAATAATCTTTAAATAGTTAAGGATGTAATCCTTCGATAAGTACTACGTATATCGCATATTTATAAAAATATATATATATACATATAATCTATTTGTATATTAGCCGTAAAAAAACGAAATCATAAATTGCTGCTTTCAAATAGAAACATTGAGCATCGAAACAAAAACAATACGAGAGCATTTCTTAAACAAACAAAAAATGTTAGCAAGCATAAAACTTTGTTAAATTACCTATTGTACTATTTGAACCTATTCTAAAACCTAAAACGCTATAAGAAAGCATACTCACTCATTAGAATAAACCAAAAACTGAACTCTTGGTCAACAAAAAAAAAAAAAAAAAAAATCCAAAACTATTATAACTATCGTATCTATATACATATTATTTTGTTATTCTCCTCTACTGAGAAACACGTATGCAGATTGTTAATTGGAACAAAGCTGTTAATCTGCTTCACATAGACACTCGAGTATATTATGAATTAATAGTCCCAAACTGGAATATAACTCTTCCTGATAGGCATTCATTCAAGAATTGAGAACATATTCTGAAATTAGGCATTAAGTATATGATATTGTGCCTAAATATATCGATTCGTATTCCATTTATTATTCCCCAATATCCTAGAACCTGAGTGTCCTTGTGGCCAGCTTTGACGAAGAAACGAATCAAAATAGAACAAAAAACCCACTGCTGTTCCAAAATGGTCAATAGCTGAGATCTAAAATATTGAGTAGGTGCTTTTGAGAACAAAGCTAATATATATACATAACTATTTATCTTACTGGGCAACAAACCTAATTAAACAAATCTTACGTAATAAATAGAGAAACAATAGAAAATATTAACTAGAAGCAATGCTATATATACAAATATAGATTGTGGTCATTGGCAGTCAAAATTGATATATATTTCTGTTTTTTTTTTTTTAATCCTTGTTCAACTCTGACTGTGCCGCTTCAAATATCACACATTAACGAAAATAATGATCGACAATATCTATCCAAAATAAAAATCAAGTTATATGCTTCTAGAGCGAAGAAATATAGGAGCAAAAGTTACAGATTTCCTTTTCCTATTTATTGGATAGTTTATAGCGCTTATCTATTGATCTAGTGAGCAGTAAAAATTAAGTTAATGAATTTTCAAAAATTGTAATATTTCTATAATTGTCGAAACATCTCTAATGTCGCGTTCAAAGAGTTCAATCAAAATCTCAAATATTCTAAAGCTAATGCATCAGCCATTGCTCTCAGATCATTACCCAATGAATTTTCTAATGCATTAGGATCTACAACAACGTATATATCAACTTTAAAATATGCGCTAAGGCGTATCCAAGCATTTATAGTGTTTATACGGAATTCGGAAAAAAATCGACTTTTCATGTTTGGGTAGCAATTTGTTGATTATAATAAAAATTTGATTACTTTTTGTATGAAACCTGAGGACAAGAGAGAAACAAATATCGTTAAAATGTAATGAAAAAAAAAAACAACCAACAAATTTGAAAATCTTAACAATAAATATCACTTTAAATACTAAAAGTATTTCTATGATCTCTATATATATAGTATTTTATATAAATAGTTCCAATATATTTATTGTATTTTTTCTTTACTTTATCAACTAGCGTTACCAATTTTACTATTATTATTTTAGTTATTTATTCTTTTAACTACATTGGCCTGGGTTTTCAGAAAAGCAAAAGTATTTTAAAAATGTTAAATATTTTCATACACCTTTAGTTTCGAATCAATCTTATAATTATTTGGAGTTTTTTCTTGAATTGGGTCTTTAACTTGTTATTTCGTTAAATGTAAACTTTCAAAAGTTAAATATATTATAAAATATTGCGAATCTTCAATGTTGACATCGAATTTTAGCATAGGTTCAGTTTTGAACTGTCAAAGATTTAGATAAACGAGACTTAAATTTCATAAGCTCAAGTTTTGTAATTTTTAATAAAATATTTATGAGACTTGATTTACAATGACTTTTTGGCATGTTATTTGACCTTCCTATTTGGGAGTTTCCCTATTATGTTAATAAATTTTCAAATTTAATTATTAATGTTCGATTCGATTGGGGAACATTAACACTTAATAAATGAATTTCTGAAAAGAAAAATGCATTCAGTCATTACAAATGGATAGTCTGAGAAATTCGGCCAATTTATTCGAGTGTCTAAAATATCAATAAGTATAAAAAAGGTCGAATTGCTGCGAAGCGGTATAAAACTTTACCTTTTATCATAAAGTTAGCTTAATTTTATTGAGTACAAAAAGATTTCTTGAGTTAAGTACTAAAGGCGCCACAACAATCGGATGGGATTTCTGAAAAGAATGAGATTTTCCGTATGAGAGATTTTGGGAATATGGAGAGAAAGGTACTCACTATTGGTGTCCTCCCAGCCCAAGGGAACGCCTAAGCGCCTGTTCTCCCGCTTGAGCCATTGATAGAGTGGATCGAAGTATTCGAGTAGTGCAGCTGGATCCATTTCAGTTTCGCCCGTAAACTCCTCCAGCACTTCCTTCCAGTGTCTCGAATTGCCAGCCGACAAGAATTTCTTGAATGCATCGCCAGCCCTTCGGCTGCCAAAGATGTCGCAATTGTCCAGAGTCCGGGTATTGTCGCCAGGCGCATACTGTCCAGCTAAACGGCACAGAGCCTTGTGGAATTGGAATTGGAATATGTGGGCAGCAAAGTAGCGCAGATACTCGACATCAGCATCGATGTGGTACTTGGCCGGAGGATCAAAGTCCTTGTCGCTGCGCGCCATTGGGGGCTCGACGCCACCGAACTCGGAACGCATCTGCCAGAAGCCGCAGTTCCATTGCGACTCGTCCAGTTCGCCGCGGAACACAGCATAGCGATATTTGTCCATGGTGTAGCCAAACGGCAGGAAGACAATCTTGGAGAGCGCTCGCTTGAACAGCTCATTGATGCGGCTCTCCTCGTCTAGAGTTCCGTTGCTGGTGAGGTTGATGCTCTGCAGATGCTTAGCGGACATTACCGACAGCGCTATGACATCACCCACAGCCTCATGGAAGCCCGGATTGGGGGCTCCTCTATAAACAGCGGGCTGTTGCTCGTACTGCAGATAGTATTGAATGTGTCCTAGCTCATGGTGCACGACGTACAGGTAATGGGTGTTCACCTCGGTGCACATCTTGATGCGGACATCGCTGTCCTGATAGAAGTCCCAGGCAGAGGCGTGGCACACCACTTCGCGATCTGTGGGTCGTGTGAGCACACTTCGATTCCAAAAAGTGGTGGGTAGAGCGCGCATGCCCAGCGATTGGAAGAACTGATCGCCCAGCTCGAACAGCTTCTGCACGCTATATGCCTGTCGCTCCATTTCCGATGTGACATCCACAAACGGCTTCTCTGGATACGGTGTGAACAGATCGATGACCTCGTTCCACGACTGTCCCCACATGTTGCCCAGCAGATGCATTGGAATGTTGCCCTCAGCGGGCACCACTTCAGGTCCATAATGCTGGCGCAGACGGTACCTCACATATCCATGGATCTCTCTGTAGAAGGGCAGCAGTGCCCTATAGGTGGCGTCCAGTTGCCTCTCAAAGGTGGCATCTTCATAGAAATGGACCCAGTAATCGGCATACGAGCGATAGCCTACAAAACGAACATTGTGTACATTGAGTTGGGGATCATGGGGTTATCTAGGTATATTAGGCAACGCGCATCTCTTACCATTCAGATTGGCTGCCTTGCGCGTCAATCGCACATATTTAGAAAAGTTATCGCGCATTGGTGTCCCCGCCTTATCGTACCATTCGCGCCAATACCAGGCCAGCTCGGCCGGATCGCGACTGTTGGACAGACGCTCCTGGATGTGAGGCTCCAGCGTCAAGGAGCAGTTGGTGCGATTCGTATAGGAGCAAACTGTGGTGGTGGCATAATTGGATTGCATGGCGCTTATCGCGTTTTGCAGCTCCAAATAGTCGTTTGGCTCGAGTACATCCGCACCCAGCTCCTGCAACATTCGCGCCTGCCTGCGAATATTTGCATCCTCCGACTTGGCATAATTGGCTGCTCGAATAGTCTGCGCCAATAGTTTGTTCTGTCTGGCGCCTTCAGCATAGACCGCTATCATGGCCTGACGATTTTCCTCCGTCACGTTGGTGTTGTACGTGAATGTAGCGGAATATTCGGCATGATACCGCTCACGCAACTTTGAATTTTCTTGCTCGAAAAAGCAATGAGCCTGCTGCGCCGAAGCGGAGCAACTCTCATAGGCAGTTCCATAGGGCAGCTAAACGTATAGATTTATTTCTATATATTGATGTAAATTGATAACTATTGCAAACACTTACCCACAGCACAAGTGCAAAGGCCACTAAGTAAAGCACTAGCAGAGTCCTCATTGCATCCAATCTAATCTCTTCCCTGATCCGTTATCAGTGTTAGACTAACTGCGAATTTTGAGAGCGCTCAGACAGTGCTACTTGCTTCGATTACAGAGCACTGTTAAGCAGTATAAGTTCACAGGACAGTGAACCTGTATCGAGAACGTTTGCTAGTGGTGAGCTGCTCACAGCTAGCTCTGGGCTAATGTTATTCGACTTCTGGACGCCCGCCAACAAATTGAGCAGCTTTTATGCCTATGCTCACGTTCGGTCACTATCTCTCGCACACAAACACTGTGAAGAGCCGCAGACTTACTGAGTCTCACCACACAGCTACACACATACATACAAAGGCAGACAGACTCTCAAGTCGCGTATCGATACTTTCCGCCTTTTATTTTTTAAAACTTAAGACGGCTTTGTCGCATATTTCACGCGTACTCGACAATTGTCAGAGTTGCATATAGAAATTGTACTCTAATAAAAGTTCGCCTTATCAGTTTCTGCTTGTAAAAAACGAGCTTCATATTCTCATATTTTTATAATACATTGCAGATTATAGAATTGGGTGTTCATTAGCATACAGACTGATCAAATATTTACATAATGCAGTTACATACACATTTATTTAACTACATACATATTTATTTACATAATACATAATACATAATGAATACATTTATTAACATAATAATGCAATTAGATACATTCATAGTAATTTACATAACAATGCAATTATTTACATATTACAATTACATACATACATACTTGTTTGTTTACATATCAATGCAATTACATACATACATACATCGCGTGGTACAGTGGAACACGAAGAGAATGTATCAAAGCGATCGATTTATAATATATGTATTCATTTTTATCTTCATGGATAACTTGGCTTTAGATCTTTGTCAGGGAGAATTAAGAGAATACCTACTATTTTATTATTTTTAAAAATACATATATGTATATGTACCTATGCAACAAGAAAACTGTTTGATCTAGTAAATTGGAAAATTCTGGTCTACCAGTTTTGTCCAGGCATGCATGCCATCCTCCAGGTCGCGTATGGAATGCTCGGGAAAACGAGTTTTCATATGCTGCACTGCAATCTGTGAATCATTCCCACGCCGGCAAACCACAAATATGGGATAATCTTTGCTCTCAAGCTGCTGGGCAAATCGTTGGACGTAGCTGCCGTCTAGAATCTGGGCCAAAGGGACATTTACGGCGCCGGGTAATTGACAAATTTCAAATTCCGCCGGCGGACGTACGTCCAGTAACAAATGAGATTTCTTCTGGCTAGCCAGTTTATGATAGTCCAGCACGTTGATGCGCTGCTCCGGCTCCAGCAGCTGCAACGCGTTGTCCTTGTCATTGGCATTCATGCCACAGAAGAGCTCGTAGTCAATGAGTCCGGTGATCAGTGGCTGGGAGGAGCAGACATGACAATTGGGTCGCTTGCCTCGGATCTTGATATTACGGAATTGGCAGCTGCTGCCGTCAAAGATGAGCATGCGCCCGGCCAGAACGTCACCCAGTCCGACAATCACTTTGATAGCCTCCATGGCTTGCAGGGCGCCTATGGTGCCGGTGACAGCACCCAGGACGCCACCATCGCCGCAATTGGTGACTGCCTCTGGCGGCGGTGGCACCGGATAAATGCAACGATAGCAGGGTCCATTCTCTCCATAGCAGTAAACCGTTAGCTGTCCATCCATTTTAAGTGCGCTGCCCGAGATCAGGGGCTTCTGTAGCATGGAGCAGGCATCGTTCAGTAGATAGCGTGTGGCCACATTGTCACTGCAGTCGAGGACTACGTCATATGCGGGGATGATCTGCATCGCATTGAGGCTGTTTAGAAGATCCGAAAAACATATGATCCGGCAGTGCGGATTCAGCTCCAGCAATGCGATGCGAGCTGATTCCGCTTTCGAAATGCCACACCGCGATACCGTGTGCAGGGTCTGACGATGCAGATTGCTGGGCTCCACTTGGTCATAGTCGACCAGGCCTAGATTTCCGCATCCCGCGCTGGCCAGATATTGCGCAGCTGGGCAGCCAAGGCCACCCAATCCCACAATGAGCACGGCGCTGTTCTTGAGCTTCAGCTGGCCATTTACACCAAAATCAGTTAGGATCAGCTGACGACTGTAGCGTGCTATATCATCGTTGCTTAGCTCTGTGTATTGATCCCTTGGCGCGAACTGCACTTCACCTTCCGCGAGCCAGTTATCTGCTGCCAGCTGAAGCTCACGCAATTTCTGATCTTTCGCATTCAATGCCGCCTGCAGCTCCGCAATCTTGCGGCACAGCTTGGCCTTTTCTATTTCGAATGAATCGGCGGTGGCGGCAATCATTGGGACGTGCAAAAATGCATTCGAGTTTTAAGGAAAAAAAAAATGCAAACGAATTCTTATTTACGCACTGACGTGAAATATGCAACAGCGTTGCGGCGTTGCCACATCGGAAAAATCCCACTGACGATAGTTCCAACGATAACATATTCACGAGTCGAAACAGCTGTAGCAGCTGCTGCCTATCAGCTTTTCAATTAACTATTTACAATTACCTAATCGTGAATTAAAACGAAGACCAATAATGTCTTGGCTGGTCGGCACGTTTCAGAAGCTGTGTGGCGTGGGTCAACTCGCTGTTAAGTCGAAGCCGCTGGCGCTCACCTGTTCAACGACCGTGCGTCAGCTTTCGCATGCCGAGCGACGGGCACGCGGTCCCACAGTGCGACGCTATGGCTACAAGGAAAAGATCTTTCAAGGTGGACTGCTGCCGCATGTAGATAATGGACACAAGCTACCCATGCCCGTGTACAGGCCCAAGAATCCTTGGTCGGAGAAGCGTGCTCTGTTTGGACAAAACGATTTTATAGACATACTGGGCAACGACCGGCTTCATCCCACCCGTGTGCTTTACTCGGTGCCATCCTGGCTGCGGGGCGTTTCGGGCAATGAGTACCAAGTGCTACTGCGCAAGCGCCGAATGCTGGAGAAGACCAAATATCCGATTGCCCGCCCCACCAAGTGGAAGGATTTGCAAAAGCGTATTTTATATTTGTACAGATTCCTTAACCGGAAGACTAAAACCGGATACTCTACACAATAATTCATGATTAAAGATATTAGTTGAATAAATTCATTCTTTTAATTCGTGAAATCTTCATAAATAGCTTATTCTAGTAATATACGTGCTTCTTCCCCATCAATCATAATCTTCTGCCCATTGTAGAGACAGAACTCCCGCTTCACGTGCGCGAACAGTAAATCAGTAATTAGGAATATTTGACCCGTGCTGAAGGCGAGGGTGGCTCCAAAGTAGAAATTGGCATTAGCAGAGCCGGCGTAGATCCACAAATGCCAAAAGGCGCCCATCAAGGACAGAGTTATCAGGAAGAAAGCAAACACCACGAAGCCATGGGCCATGACTAGAATGAAAGATTCAGTTGCATTTGATTGAGAAATACGAGTTATACTCACACTTCCAGCAACGGCGCCACAGCGGCAATAAAGCCAAATAGAAACCAACATCGCCTAGACTAGGATATGCACGAAAGACCGCCATGAGTGCAATGAGCACCGTGGCCAGCAGCAGGGGCTCTTTGCGCAACTTCAAGGACAATGGAACCAAATATAAAACGGTGGCATTTAATTGGAATGTAATCAGAAACATGGTGCGGAAATGCTCAAACATTTCTGTAAAGAAATACCAGAACAGTCCAATATTTGGCTGCAGATCACGGAAATAGAAGCTGAAAGGAACAATGAGTATATTAATTTTTCAAGTTTAACTAAATTCTCTTCAGTCACTTACATAAATCCGAGAGTCCCATCTAGGTAATTCCAGCTATTCATAATCAAGAAATTTGCACCAGCCACAGCAAAACAAGAGGTAACAAATATCATGAATATGGCGATGGCCATAGGGATGGAACGACGAGCAAAGAGTAAGATCAGCGGCGCAATCAGAACAAAAGGATAAAGACTGCGAACTGTTTCGAATGCCAACACAACAATGGAGATCAATAGCTGGCGCTTAACCATCGAGTATAAAATCAATGCTAGCAGAAAATTGCTCAGCACTGTGGAGGTCAGTCCTATGCAGCTCATTATAGTAAGTGGATTGAATAAATAGGCCAATAACACCAGCTCCGGTATTGTGGATTTGTCTTCATCGTTATACTGCAGTTCTTCTGTATCCTTGGCGTACTCTTTGCATTCTCCTTTTTGCTGTTGCAACTTTTGCTTTACAAACGTATTGCTCAGCAGATACAGCAGCGTGGCCGTGCACAAGTCAAAGAGTATATATAGTAGTGGGAGCACTTGAGCACAGTTTATCAAAATGTAGGAGAGGGCTTTCAAAAGCAGTGGCGACTCATGCACCAAATCTCCACTGTACGGATCCACACCTTGCTGAAGCAGGAATACGCCCTCTTGCACTGAAAAAATGCAAAATGGAAAGACACATTTATACAGATGCATGTGCATATATATTTACCGGCATGTCGGCGTACTTACAGCGCTTGAACGAGTTTAAAGGAGTGGCAAATTCAACGCGATTCCCGATAAGCGAAGCTAAAGACGTTTGACTGAAATACAAACGTATGGCGCCGCCCAGCAGAAGTAGTTTGAAGCGATTGGAGTCCATGAATGCAAATCGTTTTGATTATTCAGACTACAAACATGATAATTTTCAACAACTCTTGTATTTGTGGACGGTGTTTTTAAAATATCATATGGCTCGGTTGTTAGAGACAACCGATATATTTGTAATTTATTATCGATAAGAGATAGTACCCTGTTCCCCGTGTGCGATATCACTGACCAGTGGCGATATTAAGGACTAGCTTCAATCACTGTCTGGTCAGTGCTTCAACAAATTTATAACAAATATATGTACATAAATAAGTTTTTATTTTAAATTGTTTGTTTATATCTTTCTTAAATATATGGCTGACAACCAATGATTATTAAATGGCCAGTTAGATTGGCATCTCGCATAGAAAACATATCTAATAAATATTATGGGGTCTTGCGTTGTAAAAAGGAGTAAATTTGCATTTAATTAGGGTCAGGATTAAAATATATACATATTTCTTTAGAATACTAAGCAAATTCACAATTTACACTTCTGATTGTACAGGATTTAAATTTCCCCACTCGTTTCATTAGTCATGTTTAGTTCAGTTCAGTTCATCTAGTTCAAGTTTTTGGTTCATTTTGCATGCCTAACCATTTTGAGTAGTATTGTGCATTTTGTTTGAGACTCTTAAATTAATTTAATTTCGAGTTCCCGGTATCAAAATGGCAGGCAGTGTTAAAGCAAAGGAAAAAACCAAGGAAAATTCTTTTGTGGAAATAGCAAATAAATTTGAACAGTTAGTGAAACAACCGGATCGCTATCTAAAGTACGTTTTAGTTCAACCTTAACGGTGCACGTGTTGTTAATATGAAATTGTTTTTGTTGCAGGCCGCAGCTGGAGTCAATAGATTCCATACATCAGCTAATAAAGCAAACGTACAATGTCTGTCTCAGCAGCGATGTTGATAAAAATGAAGACATTCCTTCTGAAATCGTCTTGGAGGATATGGACGACGAACAGATCTGGCAACAGCTGGAAATGCGCAACAATTTGATGTTGGAAAAATTCTTAGAAGAAACCTCTAAATTTCTAGCAATTAGGAAAGAGAAATTGGGCATCGAGCTGGACGAAGATGAGAATTCAAATAAAAACCTTAGTGAACAAGATAGCGATAAGGAGGGAACCGAAAATGAAGATGAGCAAGAATCTGAATTGGAGGATTCTGTCCATGACAATAAAGGAAAGACCAAGTCAAAGGCCAAGCAAGTTAAACCAAAATATGGCAAAAAAGGTAAAGGCTCTGTGGTAGATGATAAATTTTTCAAACTGGACGAAATGGCTCAGTTTTTGGAGCAGGAAGATGCAAAAGAGCTACGAAAACAAAAGAACAAGAAGCCGGTGGAGGACATAGACGCAATTAATCATTTTGCCGAAGATTTTGGAATTGCCGATGATTCGGACGATGACGAGGCTGGCGCTAATGCGACTTTTGCCGATTTCTTCGAAATGGACGAGGAGTTGCAGACAGAATCCCAGAAGAGGGGTACGCAAAAAGATTTCTTCAAGGAAAGCGACAGTGAGCCAGATGATCACGAGGATAACGAAGTGGAGCCGGAAGAACAGGATGAGCTAGAACCGGATGGTGATCTAGCAAGCGAAATTGATGAACATGAGTTTGTGGCACAAAGTGGAGTGCAGCCTGCAAGCGATTCCGATTCCGAATCGAACCACTCAAAGAATGGAAAGGCAGAGGACGAGGACGACAATGAGGACGAGGCAGAATCATCAAAGATGCAAACGCAGTCGTCAAACGAATTGCGCGAGGCGAGACTTCTGCAGCGCATTCGAGACTATGAAGACATTGTGCTTGGCGAGAAGCCGTGGCAGTTCAAAGGCGAAGTGCAGGCAGCGAATCGTCCACAAAATTCTCTGTTGGAGGAGATTCTGGAATTTGATTCTACGACTCGACCTTCGGCTCCGATTACAGACGAGCAAAATCAGACTATCGAGGATATAATAAAGCAGCGCATACGCGATAGAGCCTTTGACGATGTGGTGCGTACGGTGCGTCCGGTGCACACACCGCAGGAATACAGGAAGCAACTTGTGCTTGATCAAGAGAAGTCGAAGCAGTCACTGGCACAAATCTACGAGCAGCAATACCAGCGTGAGCTTGATAAACTGGACCCCAATCGCGATGACGCAGACAGTGCGGCTCCTGAGCCGAAGGAGCATCAAGAAATTAAGCGAGCAATGCACACACTCTTTCTCAAGCTGGATGCACTCTCCAATTTCCATTTCACACCCAAGCCTGTTGCGCCCGAAGTCAAGATCGTCACCAACACACCCGCCATCCACATGGAAGAGGTTGCCCCGCTGGCAGTTAGCGATGCCAAGCTGCTCGCTCCGGAGGAGGTGTACCGTGGTCCCAAACACATGCCGATGGGCAAGACAGAACGCACACGAACTGACAAGAATCGTGAACGGCGAAAGAAGAAGCAGAAGCAGCGTGCTATTAATACGGCTATAGAAATGCGCGAGCAGCAACGGGCCAAGGAGGGAAAGGCGCCGACCCAGCGGGAAGCAAATGCTAAGCTCCTCAAAACAATTACAAAAAGTCGCAATGTAAAAAAGGCTAGTACCTATAAACATCTTATTTATGTGTGTATTAATTGGAATTATTCTCATTTTATAGATTACGGCTAGTAATGATCAGAGCGCATTGAAATCCTCCAAGGCATTCTTCAATAAGCTACAGGACACAACATTGTCCACGTCCGCAACTGCTGGCGGCAAGCGTCCCAAAAAGGACGCATCCAAAGTCAATGCGAAAAAACTCAAATTGTAAATACATATAAAGAAAGAAGCTTGTAAATGTTAATTATATTTGGGAAGCGAAGATTATATTGGTTTCCCCATTCGTGACGTCAAAAAAACATGCGCTAAGCAGCGGTCACGTGCCGTCAAACGCCGCACACAATTGGCTACTGTTGGGATGGTGGTTAGTGAGCACAATAAAATTGGGGCGCCATGGGAGATGCCATGCGTCGTCCACTTTGAAGTTCGCGTGGGCGTGAACATTGTTCAAGGACATGATTATTAGCCGCTTGTGTAATAAAGTAAACGTAGGATATTTTTAGAGCAGCCTTAGCCAAAAATTTAGTAGTTGACTAATTCTATTTATATATATATGTAGCATATTCTTAGATTTATTCGAGTGAACGTTTCTCGATTCTCGCTAGTTTTGTACTGATATCTTAGAAATTCTTAATAGTGCGCTCGTAATTTAAATCTTCGCGCTTTAACCAACTCATTTTGCAGCACTGTTGTAATTATCGAAAATATTGGCGGCGATATTTGCGCAGTCAAAATCGATAATATATGTCTTTCGATTATTTCAAGCCGTCTTGCACGTGTTGCTTTGCGAGTTTTGTATATTGTAAGTTTTGTTAAATTTAAAAAGCAGCCATGGTTAAGGTACAAAAACCACAACCGAAAACTCTTAAGAAAAGCACAAAAAGTGATGGCGTTGTTAAGGAAAAACAAAAAGTCAACAAAACCATTCAAAAATCATCAAAAGCAAAAGGCTTAGCACCGGCCGAAACTAAAGTTGACAGTAAAAAGATTTCGGCTATAAAGTCGGATGTCAAGAAGAGTTCTGAGCGAAAGAACCCAAAAGTCGCAGCGCAGCCCAAGCTGGAAGAAGCAAAACCGCCACAGAAGTCCAAGTCGACCAAGAGGCCTCTAGTTCTTGCACCTCCAAAATCGCCGATTGCTTTGCCAACAAAAACAAGCAAAAAAGCAGCTCCTGTGGCGACGCCTGCAGTGCCCACGAAAACAATTAAAAAAGTTGCTCTAGATGCCACCCCAGTTGCTGCTCCTGCTCCCAAGAAAGCTAAAATAGCAAAGATCGAGAAGTCTGCTAGTGGGCCAGTATTGAAATCGGAGGTAAAGCAGAAGGTAAAAGCAGAAGTGGTTAAAAATGGGGAGATAAAGAAGAAGGTAAAAGCAGAAGTGGTTAAAAATGGGGAGATAAAGAAGAAGGTAAAAACAGAAGTGGCTAAAACTGCGGAGATAAAGCAGAAGGTAAAAGCAGAAGTGGCTAAAAACAAGGAAAAGAAAAAGCAAATTAAACAGGCTGTCGCCCCAGCCACAAAGAACGAAGCCAAGAAGCAGCCACAGGTATCCAAAAATGCTAAAGCATCAAAGAAAGTCTTGAAAAAAACTACGACTAAACTGGCCAACAAAATAGGCACAGCGTCTGCAAATAAAAAAGTTAAGAAAGGAAAGATTTCACAGCAACAAAAAGCAATACAACAGAAGGAACCGAAAATTGTTGAACTGAAATATGAAGTGAAATCCTTTGATGAGGATAAATTTAATAACATTGTGTGCGAGAAAAATGTGGAGAAGGTGTGCTCAGCTCTGATGAGCCAGGTGCGCGAAGAGGTGCAGAAACTGAAGTCGAAGCCCATCTTCAGCGATTACCGCTATATTCTACAGGTGGCCAGCTATAAGATTCCCAGCTGCCCGAAGCGCATAGTCAAGCTGGCGCTGAAGCACTCGCTAGTGGGCAAGGATGATGATGTCGCCGTCATTGTGACCGACTTGCAGCGTGGAGCTCGCTTTGATTATGAGCCGACCGTGCAGCACTACGAGGATTTGTTTCGTGAGGCTGGCATAGAGCAGCGCCTGAAGATTATCCCATTCAATCAGCTACGCAACGACATGGTCACATTCGAAGCTAAGCGCAAGTTCCTAAATAGCTATGACTACTTGCTCTGCGATGGACGCATCTCGGGCCAGGCTACCGCCTTCCTCGGCAACGTAAGTAACAATTGTGGTCTAATAAGCTCTGCGTCTGCTATAATCATGATTCCGTTTCGTCTATAGTTCACCCAAAAGCCTCGTAATGTGCTGCACCCCGTGCGCCTGAGCAAAAGCAATCAGTTGCCCAAGGAGATATCGCGTGGTCTTTGCCGCACAGCTTACAGACAGCTGCGGAAGGGTGATCTAATAGCCATTCCAGTCGGCAATCATGAGCACAGCGGCCAGCAGCTGGCAGAGAATGTGTTGTGCGTCGTCAAACAGCTGCAGCAGCTGTATCCTGGCGGGCTACCCAACATACGCTCAATGTATTTGAAAATCGACATTGTTGGAACCTCAGCGCTGCCCCTCTACATCAGCTTGTGCGCCCCACCCGTGGACTCGCCGTACGTTGTGGGTCCACGCGAGCAGCGGATGCTCAAGTTGAAGAAGCAGGCAAACGAAGTGCTATCTAAATTTGCTCTCACCAAGGACGTCGATTTCGTGAAACTGACGCAGGATCAGGTTGAGCGTAAGGCTGAACTTCGTCTAAAGCGAAATGCACTCAAAGCTGAGGATGCAAAGGACGGTGAGAATAAGGACAACCTACCAGAGGATTCGATTGTCCTGGCCAAAAAAGCACGCAAAACTGTGGAATCTGAAAAGGTTAAAGAGGACAAAGAGCCCGAAGAGGAAGAAAATAAAGATGATGAGAACGACGAAGACGATGATGAGGATGATGACGATGATGCTGACGATGACGATGATGCTGAAGATGACGATGATGCTGAAGATGACGATGATGCTGAAGATGACGATGATGCTGAAGAAGATGAGGATGATGATGATGAAGAGGATAATGATGAAGATGAAGATGAATAGAATTAGTTTTGTTTATTTTTATATTTGAAATGCAAACTTTATTATCTCTATTACAAACAATTAGTTAACGTAAGAACGTTTAGTTTATGTATATACTTTGCAGTCAATACAATTGAATTTTAGAGCCCATAATTATGATCAAGTGGCCAATTTTCATATAGTTCAAATCTTTTATATACAGAAACAAACTGATTAAATAAATATATATAAAATATACAAAATATGTATATTATTAACAAATATTCTTAAATTTGAGGGATAGTTAAAGGATTCAAGCAGAAATATTTAATCCAGATGTTTTGTTATCCTGAAGCCAATGCAAATGGGATTCGTAATGTATGTATGCGTACAATTAATACTATATTTGTGCTCTATAATAGGAGTGGTAAGTCGTCAGTAGTCATATAAGTTTGTTCCTCATTTTGGAACATTTAATTAATATCTAACTAATGATAATACCAAATGGCCATCTCTGCTCCCATTACCATTCTTTTTTCAGTGCTACAAAAACTATTATTGCGTTGATTAAATTTGTGCAAATGCGCATATTTACACAATATTCTCGTACCTGAATGTTTATTCAACAGGTCATCTTTATTCATAATCTTTTTTATTGCCATTTATGCCCTTCATACTGGGTATTATGAAATTAATATCATATTTGCGACAGAAGAAAAATAGCCGAGTTAAAAGTGTTTAGATAGATATACTGATATTTTAGATATATGTATATATTTAGATATATGTATATATTTCAATTCAAAAGATTGATTGGTCTATCAATCGATATACATATGAAGCTAAATAAAATATTTAATATAATTTTTAAAAACTTAATTTTATATAATAATAATAAATTTTTTTTTCAAGTTTTAAAAGAATCGATTTATGAAACTTTGCTTACATGAAGGGCAGCTCTTTTCGCTTTGCTCGGAAAGTGTATATGACATAAAAATTAATGTTTACAAAGGGAAATTGACCGAACATTTAAGTTCAGTAAAAATCGATTTGAATAATGTTTTTGTTGACTCTTTTATAGCGCCATATGACGTTCAATATATGCACATATTAATATATATATATTTATATCTATATATGTACGTATATGAGTAGTAATACTGAAATATATGGACATTTGATGCTCTGGAAATTTGTTGGGAATTGCTAACATGCTATCGACATGGCATGCCACGACTCTGGCTGTAGCGTTGACTTTGGCTTTGTGCTAACGTCCCTCCATATATGAACATTTTGATAGTTATTTAACAAAATATGCAAGCACTATCGCCACGGGCGTTCCTTGTCCTGGTAAAGTGAAATGCACTCCCTTTTTGCAGTGAACGATGGACATCAGACGACAGGAGAGTTCCATAATATTTGACCTACGCGTGCATAAAATAAATACATTTAATACATAAATTAGGCAGAACATATTAAGAGCTTGCATATCAAATGTTAGCAAGGCTCTTTGAAGTATGTTGATGGATGATGAACCAAAGCTCTGACGTCATGAGCTATCTTTAGCTACCCCAAATCAAAGGTCAAAAGGTCGCAAAGCTGTCATAATCACCTATGCACAACGAGATGCAGAGACCTAGGCCAAAAGCGACCTTGGAATTGCACAAGTTATGCTACTCAATTAGTCTAATGTTCATTCAAACTCGTGCGCACACACTCATTTATGTAGACATACAGGTTCTATTAGGTGTAGGCCATCACTACACTCCAGAGATTTAAATCACGTTTCGCTACGTTTATGGACAATTGACTACGCTGACCACGTCGAAAAATAACATTGCAAAGCTTTTATCAGTCGCATTATCATTCATCAGTGGCCTGTCAACTCCCTACTGTAGCTATAAATAAAAACAAATGTTATGAGCATGCGCTGAGCATGTCCGATTTTTCAAATATTTCCTATTTTTAAATATTGCGGAACAATATTTTGTAGATGCTCTTTTTAATAAGTTCTAATATCACTATAAATATTATAATAATAATTAAGTTCCGTAGCTTAATATTCCAAACTCGAATTCGTGATCCTTTAGGACTTGTAGAAATGAAAATGTGTGTAATATTATCTATCTAAGAAAACTAGACATTAATTCAAGGCTATTTCTTCTATATAAGCCTTTAATGCATAGCTCTAAGTATTTCCTCCAAAAATTCCCTCTGGGTATTTACTCTAAGTCTTAAATGCTTAGTTGAACGAACACACATTTCTTTCAAATCCTTCCTCAAGGTCATTCTTTTAATTATTTCCTTCAAGTATTTTCTTTC